TAAGTCTGCCTAAAATTTTACAATAAGTTTCAGTAAGGAGAAAGTTGAAAAGTCAAATGGGCTTCGGACTTATCTTGAAAATACCGGGGAATCATTGATGCCCAGCACATTTGTAGAAGTAGAATTTGCAGAATATGTTAGAAGGGAAGCAAACAGAATCCAGGAGCCCAGCTCAGGAGCTCATAAAGTACTTGGAGCCTGATGCAGGGTCCTAGTACTCGTTTGAGGCGGTGCTATGATGTTTTCCAGATCTCTGAACAGCAACTCAAAGAAGCCGTAGCCCAGGCTGCAGAGAACATCAAGTTTGGAAAGGAGAGACATCAGTGGAATCTGGAAGGTAAGGAAAATGGTGGACTTGGACTTGAAATATCTTTGCCTTCTTAGAAAGCTTAGAGTTTAACCATTAACTCAGTTTCTATCCCAAAGATGTATAATGAAATCCATCAAAACACAGTAAATAGACTAGAGTTAAATCTGGAAGCCCACCAGTGAAATTTTGCCCACATTTTTGCATTGTTTGTTGTTGTTTTTGCAAGGTGACATAGAGTCAGCACCGACTCATAGCAACCCTATGCAGAATGGAATAATACAATGCCCAATTCTGGGCCAACCTTACAACTGTTGCTACGTTTGAGTCCATTGATGCTGCCACTGTGCCAGTCCATCTCATTGGGGGTCTTCCTCTTTTTCTCCAACCTTCCACTTTACCAAACATGATATCTTTCTCCAGTGACTGGTCCCTCCCTGACAATATGTCCCAAGTATGAGAGACGAAGTCTTGTCATTTTGGCTTCCAAGGAGTATTCTGGCTATACTTCTTCCAACACAGATCTGTTTGTTCTTTTGGCAGTCCATGGCACTTTCAGTATTCTCCTCCAACCACAACTCAAATCATCTACGGTCTTCCTTATTAATTGTCTAGCTTTCACATGCATATGAGATTATTGAAAGTACCATGACTTGCATCAGGTGCACTTTAGTCCTCAAGCTGACATCTTTGCTCTTGGGAGGTACAAAATTTTGCAGATTATCTTGAGCTTGAGTCATTTTAAGTGGGGCAAAAACTCTCCAGGTCTTTATCCATCATTCATTGTTGTCATTTACTAGGTTGTCATCCACACACTAGTCCCTGCAGGCATTTAAGTTCGCTACCCCTAGTCTCTGTAATCCAGGAGCCCTAATGGCTGCTAACTGAGAGCTTGGTGATTTGAACCTACCCAGCATCTCTGCAGCAGAAAGGTCTGGCAATCCGCTTCTGTAAAAATTCCAGCCTAGAAAACCCTATAGAGCAGTTCTACTTTGTCACATGGGGTCACTATGAATCAAAATCAACTCCACCTAACAAGAACCATTTCTAATGATAAAAACATTTAGAAATAATACGATCAATATAATATGCAACATTTATGAAGTTCTTATGTTGTGTTAATTTCTTTTCACACATGATTTCACTGAAGCACCACATTAAGTTTCTACACAAGTTTTGTAGGTAAAAGTGAGGCACTGAGAAGTTAGGGTGCCTCATTCAAAGTCACACCACTGAATACGACGAGGATTTGGGATGGGAACCCAGGCTAGCTGACTTCAGAAACTGGGACACTCACTACCTCAATACCCAACTGATGGGCATTGACCCATCACTAGAACATTCGTATGATAAAATTAACGACATACTGACAAGAAAGTTACACAGTCTGGAGGGACATTCGGAGAAAAGGGAAGAATACAACATTTAATTTCAAGTATTATTGTCTACCTTTCCCATCTACCTAATACACATATACTCAGGAGAAAAATGATAAAGAAACATGCCAAAATTATGACAGCGGTCATCTCTAACTGAGAGGACTGTACATGGTTTTTTACTTCTAAGGTCTTCTTTTTTGTTGCTGAGTTTTCTCTAATGAAAATATGCTATTTTATAATGAAGAAAAAGTAATAGGATTTGGATTTTGAGCTTGGCTGCCTTAGTTCTCTCTTAAGGCAGGTGCTGCCTAAGGGCTCCCCTGCTTGTCTCTGTCTCCCAAGGTGAGCGGAAATTTGGGCAAGAGGCCAGGCTTTACTCTGCTCCTATCCCCTTGACTTGCGATGCTATGAAAGGGACACTTTGGACAATTTCCCACCAGAGAGGAGGACCTTTCAAGCATGGGTAGATGGCATGAGTGCTGGAAAGGATGGGAAGGGGGGCTGTAAGCTGGGAAAAAGGCTGGGTGGGGAGGAGAAGAGAAAGAAGGGGTATGGCTAAGTATCAATGATTTTTATGGCTTCACTTCATTATTGCTGTTGTTGTTAAGTGCCATCTAGTAGGTTCCAACTTATAGCGATCTTGTATAGGGTTTCTAAGGAGCGGCTGGTAAGTTTGAACCACTGACCTTGTGGTTCAAAACGACCTTGAGGAAGAGTGCTTATCCTAAGACGCTACACCAGGACTCCCCACTTCATCATCAGCTAGAGAGAAACGGTCACCTCTTTTTACAAGATTTACAAGATTTAAAGATCCTTCACAGAGAATCTCTTTATCTCTTTGATGTTGTTGTTGTTAAGTGCCGTTGAGTCAGTGTTGACTCATAGCAACCCTATACAGGATTTCTGAGGAGCAGCTTGGTGGGTTTGAACCACTGACCTTGTGGTTCAAACCGACCTTGAAGTCCAGTACATTAACCCACAGTGCCACAGTTTAGGGACACTACAGTTGAGAAAAGGCGTGTTGTAGGTTGGGTCCCCCAAGAGGCTGACTCTGAGATGGGATTTAGTGTGCAGGATATTTATTAGACACTGTCATTGGGATTACCAGGCAGAAGGAATAATGGAGTTGAGTTGACGACCCAACAGCTTCAACCACCCTTGGTGCTCTGGAGCTAAAATGACTCGTTAAAGTTGTCCCAAGTTAGGCAGAAATGGCTGGGCCTTTATAACCCCATCTCCATCAGTCATTGGTTAGGGTCTGCTCCCCATAGTTGGGGCAAGTCCTTCTTTAATAGGCAATATGGGTAGAATATCTCCATGCCCACTCCATGGAGTTTCACAAAGTTTGAATGCTTTTCCCATACCTACAGTCATAGTTTCTCAGGGACCAAGCCCAAGACCAAGCCCAAGGTTTCAAAACCAGTGGTGCCCTGCCTGTGGCTGTCCTGAGCAAGGCCAGGGCTGTTTTAATCTTGGCAAGCTCAGTGTAGTGCTTCACACACAGGTGTCAAAAGGCTGGAGAGCAGCTGGCACGGGCGGCCCACCTCGGAGAAGGAGCAGGAGAAGAACTCAGCACCTCCACAGCGCAGGGCTCAGAAGATCATGGTCCGCTCCAGCAGCGATAGCAGCTACATGTCCGGGTCCCCAGGAGGGAGTCCTCGAAGTGGTGGCAGTGAGCAGCAGCCCCCTGATGTGGAAGTCAGCGCACACAGTTCCCGCCTGCACCTTGGACAGGACAACCAGGTGCTGTCCACGACAGCAGCCAGTCTGCCCCAGGACAGCCCGCCCTTCCCTGGGAGCCAGGATGGCCACCCACCATTGAGGTTGAAAAAATCTTTTGAGATTTTGGTGAGAAAGCCCACATCCTCCAAGCCCAAGCCTCCACCCAGAAAATACTTTAAAAGTGACAGTGACCCCCAAAGGAGTCTGGGAGAGAGAGAGAACTCCGTATGTTCTTCTGGACACACTTTGTCCTCCTGTGGCCAGGTAAGAGCATGTGTCAGGTGGTTGTTCTCGAATATCCACAATATGTTTGTAGTGGAAGAATCAAAGTTTCTCCTGTTCTGTGCTAAATTACCAGAGAGAAGGCGCAGTTAAAACCTCAGTGCTAAAAGCATTGAGTTTTGAAACTTCTTGTTGTTAAAGCTCAGAGTTACCCTGTATAGGGTTTCCAAGGAGTGCTGGGGGCAGATCCAAAATTGAAGTCCAAGATTACTCACTGGTTTCTGGGTACCCACCCACTATTCACTGAGATTTAAGGTCCCTTTCCTACGTGTCATTCCAGAACCCCTGGAGGCCCGTTGCAAGAGGTGAGAGGGATAGAACTCTTTGTTGGTGAATCTCCAGCTTTTCGTTTCCTGGAAGAGTTTTTGTGGGAAGCCCAAAAGCCCTAATTATCAAGTCAGTTCTGACTTGTGGCACACCAGGGGTTGCAGAGCAGAACTGCTTCCTAAGATTTTCTGGCTGTAATGTTTACAAGGTGTCCTGGGTGGCTCTGTGAGTTAATGTGCTGGACTTCAAATCAAGTTTGATCTGCAAGGTGATTCAAGCTCACCAGTTGCTCCTCCTCCGAACCACTATCCCGGGTCGCTACAGGTCAGAACTGACTCAATGATACTTAACAACAACAATAAACAATCTTTACAGAGTCCTGGTGTGGCGCTGTAGGATAAGCACTTGACCATGAGGTTGGTTTGAAATGCAAAGTCAGCAGCTCAAACCCACCAGTTGCTCATTGGAAACCCTACACAGGATTGCTATGCGTCAGAACTGACTCAACAGTACTTAACAACAACAACAGTCTTTACGAGGAGCGAGATAAAGATCACAGCCTAGAAAATCCTATGGAGCAATTCTACTCTGTACCACACGAGGTCGCCACAAGTCAGAACTGACTTCACAGCAATGGGCTGGATTTTGTTTCCGTCTCAAATCTCTCGCTGTTAGACTGCCTTTCACATCCTTACCCCTCCACCTGCTGCACAAGACAGGTGGTTTTTGAAACCTCTGGAAATACCCTCTAACAACCTGTAAGAAGGACTGACCCATTTAGGGAAAGTAAGAAAGCCCCGAGTGGTGGTGGTGGTGGGAGCTGGGGGAGGTGAACGTTGAGTACAGAGACTTGAAAGCAAAGGCAGGGGAGAAGAAAGCCAGGTTACTAAGAATGAAGTGCAGCTGTGCAGAGAGCTGGCAGGATGTGGCCTGTTTAGCAGTGTGTGATCGGGGTGCAGAGGTGGATCTATCCCCCGCTCTTCCTCCTTTAAGTAAAGATTTCATTATCCCTGAGGTTCAAGTGATTTGAGTCTAGAAGTGCACATTTGGTCCGAGGAGGCTGAGAACCTGGGTTAAGACCAGAAAGGGAGGAGTGGAGTTTTCACTGCAAATCTCTGTCCCGGTGAAGCCCATGAGCCAGCCTTGGACTTGTACGAGGGGATTTCAAAAATTTCCTGCAAAATGGAATTAAAAGAGAATGGGATTTCCCCACAAACACTTGGAAACTCCCTTGTAAGGAGCCTGGTGATATTGTGGGTCAGGTGTTGGGCTGCTAGCCACAAGGTTGACAGTTCAAAACTACCAGCCACTCGGCAGGAGAAAGCTGAGGCTGTCTGCTTCTGTTAACATTTAATGTCTTAGAAACACTGTTTAAAATCACCATGAGTCAGAATTGAGCTGATAACAGTAGATTTGGGGGTGTGTTGGTATTCTTATAGGGCAGGGTATATCCCTAAGGGAGGGGCTGGAGGAGGAATCAGGATGTCTTCAGGGAAGGCCAAACAAGGAGCACACATGTGGGCAGCTTCCTCTCATACAACATTGCCTCATCTCAGACACCTGTCTGAAAACACAGGTCCCTCCTGAGTCCCCAGGCTTTGCAGCTCTAAGGACATGATGCCGCTGCTCTCTTCTGTCGATGGACTTTGACCCATGTGGCCAACGGACCCTTCTCCCATTGTCTTTCTCTAGAAGGCACAAAGGACTCTAATATACTTGTCCTGGCCATTGAAGACCACAGAGAAAGCATTATTGCACAACCGAAAACAGGAAGCAGTTTATGTGACGTTACTCTTCTTAAAATTTCCTCGGCCATTCCTGGGGATTTCTCCCTGAGTGTTTTTCTCTTTGACAGCAATGGACCACCCTGCTTTAAGACCAGTCAGTCTGTCTCTCTCTGTCTGTCTATCTATAATAAAATCTGTGAAAGCTAAAACCTAGGCAAGAGTGGAAACTTGTCAGAGAAGGAAAACTCAAAAAGGAGCCATAGAAAATGATAAGACTGCAACCTGTCTTATGAAAGGCAAAAACTTTCATTGACTTCTAGCTCTCACAGGTTTTATCCTATCTATCTGGTGTGGCGCTGTAGGGTTGGATTGCTAGCTGAAAGGTCGGCAGTTCAAACTCACTAGCTACTCCTCGGAAACCCTATACAGGGTCGCTCTGAGTAGGAACGGACTCAGTGGCACTTAACTAGCTTTCTCCCTCCCTGTGTATCAATCTATGTATTTATCTATCTAGCCATCCATCCATCTGCCTCTATATCTATCTATCTATCTACCTCCCTATCTACCTCCATATCTACCTCTCCACCTATCTGTCTATCTATCTATCTATCATTTTTTCTCCCTCCCATCTTTTCTCGCCAAGGTTCCAAGACTCTTTGGAAGATGCTAATGGACAACTCCAAATCTTTCCCATATCAAGGCAACTTAACCTCCACAAGTAAAATACCCTTCTGAATATTTTCGACCAAAGAGAAGTTCTACCTCTTCTAGAATATCAACTCAACAATCACCTGTGTTTAAAATACTCTTTCTCCCCTCCCTGAGAACTCCATATCTCTGTTTTTCTTTTCTCTTTCTGTTTTCTTCTCTCTTTCTTGACCACCAGACACAGTGTCAGGAAACATTACTCAGATAGTAGCATTGGTAGTGGTTATGTGCAGTTCCAACTCACAGCAACCCTGCACAGGGTTACTGAGGCTATAAATCTTTACGGGAGCAGAAATCCTGATCTTTCTCTCATGGAACAGCTGGTAGTTTCGAACTGCTGACCTTGAGGTTAGCAGACCGACTCGTAACCACTATACTACTGGAGCTCCTATGAAAGTCGTTTGTTGTTGTTGTTAGGTGCCATCAAGTAGGTACCGACTCATAGCGACCTTATGCACAGCAGAACGAAACACTGGGCCAACCTCACTACTGTTGCCACGCTTGAGTCCATTGATGCTGCCACTTGGCCAATCCATCTGGTTGGGCGTCTTCCTCTTTTTCTCTGACCCTCCACCTTACCAAACATGATATCCTTCTCCAGTGACTGGTCCCTTCTGACAATATGTCCGAAGCATGAGAGACGAAGTTTAGCCATCTTGGCCTCCAAGGAGCACTCTGGCTGCACTTCTTCCAAAATGGATCTATTGGTTCTTTTTGACAGCCCATGGCACTTTCAATAGTCTCCTTCAACACCATAACTCAAAAGCATCAATTCTTCTACGGTCTTCCTTATTCACTGTCCAGCTTTCGCATGCATATGAGGTTATTGAAAATACCATGGCTTGGGTCAGGCTCATCTTAGTCCTCAAGCTGACATCTTTGCTCTTCAATCTTTAAAAAGGTCGTATTAGAGGCTAATTTAAAACGAGCTTCTATAAAAAGGATGCAACATCAGGTGTGTTGATTCAAAGTCAAAATGCATTTGTGTCTGTTACAAAATGTGGTTTTGTTGACTACTTGTTTGGTACCCAAAGTGCCTCCTTATAGAAAGTCTTATATGTAAAAGGAGAGTTGAAGTCATCTTAGAGTTCAATTGAACTTGAGTAATGTGGGTTTTTTTGGTGTTTTTTTTTTTTTCTGTTAGATGACAGTCTTGTTGTTGTTGTTAAGTGCTGTAGAGTCAGTTACAACTCAGCAACCCTGTATCAGGTTTCCAAGGAGTGACTGGCAGGTTTGAACAACCAACCTTGTAATTAGTAGTTCAGTGCTTATTGTAAAGCGCCAGTTTCCAATGTCTTGAGCAACCCTTGAATTTCAAGGGGCTGTTGCAAGAAATCCAATGATTGCTCTGTGGTGGTTAATCACTCTGTATTTTCAAAACGCTCTCCTAAAGTTCAGTTTCATAATAGCAGAGCTGAGCTGAGGCAGGGAACACTTGTAAATGCATTGTGAACACATGTCAAACTCCTGTGGACCTCTTATTTCCAGGAAATACTTAGGGCAAAAGACACCTGCTATTTCTTTTTTTAGTCTCAATTGCTGCTTTGTTACTCCTTCCTTCCTTTTCTGGAAGGGAGTCTGTAGACTTGTAAAAGAGCCGGTCATTACATCTGGCTCTCAACCCAAGGAAACATGGAGACAGCCTCTTGCTTTGATGTCTTGTAGTACATCAAATACAGGAGGGCCACTCGGCTGATGTCTGTCTGCCTTCTCATGCTTTTCTTCTGAGAAGAGATCATGCTTAGTCTTTCCTTCTGTGTATGTATGTCTCTGGAACATTCTTCTTCTACCTTTCTATCTGGAAGACTCTTTCTCTTTGTTCAGACAAAAATCGCTTGTCTTGAAAATCTTTCTAGACAAGGACTGGTGTGCCCTCCTTCCTCTGAGCTCTGAGAGCATCCAATTTGTGCTACATTATAATCCAGACTTGAATGGAATAAGAGATATCTATGTGGTGCCTGCTCTTGCTCTTTATTAAAACCTGGCTGTTTTATGAAAGAGCCTGAAACTGTACCCAGGCTTGGTGGAGAGGGGTGCAGCTCTGCACTGGATTGATAATGTCACCTTGGGGGTTGCAAAGGGGGGCAATGGCACAGATGCTGAGTGTATGTCATCTTTTGATGTGTCCTTGCTAAATACTGAACAGCTACTGACATAATGTTCCTGCGAGTGTTCTAACCTGAGTTTAGTAGACTACATGGGTCATGAAGGCAGTAAGGAGGGAGGAACAACTCTCTCCAAAATGCTGTTGATGAAGCTCCCATCTAAGACGCTTCATCCGCCCTCCATTCCCAGTCAAAGTGTGTCTTGCCTTCTCACAGCCAAAGGCTACCGTTCTGACACAGTCTCGCTTCCTGTTTACACCACAGGAAGCAAGAGAGCTGCTGCCACCTCAGTCACTTCAGGAAGGCGCAGTAGGGGGGACCCCCTACACCCTTGCCTGCTGTCCGGGACCTGGAGTTGCCCTGAAGACTACAGCTTCCACAGAGGGTGAGCCAGGCAGGAGAGCCAGCCCAGGTAGGGTTTCATTTAGACCTTCCAGAAGAAAGGGCCTCTGGACAAAGACCCAGCAGCTAGGCAAGAATGTGAGTTTGGCCTGAGGACGGGGGTGTTCTGTGCTGACAAGATGACTGGGCTGATGAGCAGTCAAAGGTCTCCAGGGGCTGTGGGAGGCAAGACAGAAGAGATGCTACCAGAGGCCCTGGTGGGACCCCTGCTAACTGGGTTAGTGATGTTGTTGTTATTGAGGTGGTGGTTCTGGTAACGGAACACAGTTGGACCTAGAAAATCCACTGGAGGGTGGAACCCATGGGGATTGGTCCAAAGATACCGGCACTCACCATCCTGGAATACTGCCTTCAGCGTGTTGCCTTCAGTATTTCCAAGACTGAGTATGCTGTGCCAGAAAAGCCTCAAGAGTAGCTTTGGCTACCACTAGCCAGCCCTTTACTCTTCTTGAGCCCTAGATTCTGCAGCTGTAAAATGCCAGAGATTGGGCCAGAGAGTCTCTGGAAACGCGTTTAGTTCTAAAACTCTAATATGCTATGAAGTTAATTCTTACCTCTGGTTCTTTGATCCTATCTGTTGGCATGTCAGTCAGGTAATAGCACCTGGCCATACCCAATGAGGGGTTTACCACTCTGCTAATCTAATCTAAAATCCTTCTTGCTGTTCAGCCTTGAGTTAGAATTTAGGAAGAAAAACAACTTTAAGGTATAACGCACAGCTATTGCCTTGTTTCTTCTCTCTAGTGCATCAGAACTCCCCAATCAAACACCCAGTGCTTAAGAGGCAGGCTCGGATGGACTATAGTCTTGACGTCACAGCTGAAGACCCTTGGGTTAGAATTTCTGACTGCATCAAAAACTTGTTCAGCCCCATCATGACTGAGAGCCATGGACACTTGCCGCTACAGTCCAGCGTCCAGTTGGGTGAAGATGGGACGCAGGACCGCCCAGATGGGGCCCTGCCCAAACTGGATGCTTCCAAAGGTGCTCCCAAAGTTTACAAGACAGAGGACAATGGCCCTGCGAAGAAGGGTCCTCCTGTGGCCCCCAAGCCAGCCTGGTTTCGCCAAAGCTTGAAAGGTTTGCAGAGCCGTGCTCCAGACCCCAAAAGATGGCCCAATGCAGCCTCATCTTCCCAGCCAATGCCTGTACCCAGGGAGCAGTCTGGGCCACACCCACGGGCCTCCTCCTCCATCAAGCAGAGGATCAGTTCATTTGAAACCTTTGGCTCCTCTCAACTTCCAGAGAGAGGATTCCAGAGACTGAGCTTCCAGCCCCACTCTAGAGAGGCAGCAAAAGCTTCTGGAAGGCAGGATGGAGCACAGGTTTCTAGCCTCTGTGTGCAAGGGGCTCCGTCCATTGTTGAGCAACAGCGGTCAGAGAAAGAGCAGCTGCCTCCAGGTGCCCCTGCAGCCTCAGAGGCCAGTGACACAGGTGTGTCTGTGTCCCCTCTGCCAGCGCTGCAGCCCCCTCAGAAGACCCTCCCACCTGGCCCAGATCCTTTCCTGAGACTGCTGTCAGCACCAACTGAGGAGTCACAAAGCCTCTTTGTCAAGACACCGAGCCAGAGGGCTCAGAGCTTCCCTCTGACCAGAACCCAGTCCTGTGAGGTGAAGCCATTGGATGAAAAGACGAGTAAACTCTACTCGATCAGCAGCCAAGTGTCATCTGCCGTCATGAAATCCTTGCTCTGCCTTTCATCTTCAGTCTCTTGTGGCCAGACTCCTTGCATTCCCAAGGAAGGAGCCTCTCCAATATCACCGTCCAATGAAGAGCCAGCGGCAAACAGTTTCACTGAAATGCCTGCCTCGGACACGGGGTACTCGCTCAAGTGAGTTCCTTCGCCGGAAGCTTCTCTCCATCTTTCTCACTTTTCTTTCTTTAACAATCCTATATATCTTTTTTTAAAGTGAAGGTGTACAGAGAAAGTCATCATTTTACATTGAACAAATCATGCACTTCAGTTCAATGACTGCATTCCCCTCATAGTGGCGTCAGTTTTCCTTGGGTTTCCACTCACCCTCCTGAATGTTGTCCTTAGGAAACACTGCTCTTCTGATCTTCAGTGATAGGTTGACCAGTCAGTCCATGGTGTGCACACTTCACTACTGTTGCTGTCTCCCCGTAAGTATCTACTGTTGGCTAGGAATTGAGCCATGAGGCTGAGTTCAGTTTCAGACCTGAAGATTGATCAAGGGCCATAGTCTGGACTTCTTCCAGCCTCTTTCTGACCAGTAAATCTGGTACTCTTTTATAATTTTGAGTTTTGTTACACACTTTTTCCCTCCCAATCCAGGACCTTCTAATGCGATCCCTATCAGAACAGTTGGTAATGGTGGCTGGGTACCATCTAGTTCTTCTGGTCTCAGGATCATGGGCACTGATATTCACATGGTCCATTGGTCCCCTGGATAATTGATACCAAGACCCTATCATTTTCATCACTCTTCTTTTCTCAGCACAGAGAGAGACCAATAGCTGTACCTTTAAGATCCCAGATGCAACTCACCGAAGTAAGATGGATAGTACTGTCTTTGTGGACTGTGTGATGACAATTGACCATGGTGTCCCCTGAGACTATGGTCCTGAGCCCCCAGATCCAGAAGCTCATTCCTTCAAGGTGTTTGGTAATGTCTAGGAAGTATTCAGACCTTTGTCACCTGTATGCTTTACCACCTTCATGGATATGTAAATACCATGTACAAATATCCTCCAAAACCTCTTTAAATCTGGGTATACTCCCACTGTGCCTCCCATATCCACTCAACCTATCTCTGTCCATGTATCTACCAATAGATCACTTTATTGCAGGATTGTGTATTTAACATGTATATATGTCTAGATGGAGTCTTGGTGTGGCACTGTGAGTCAATGCGCTGGAATGCAAAGTCAGTTTGAACTGTAAGGTCAGTGGTTCAAGCATACCAGCTGCTCCTTGGAAATCCTATACAGGGTCGCTATGGGTCAGAACTGACTCAGGGGATCTTAACAACAACCACAAAAATGTGTATATGCCCTTTGACTCATACACTGCTCCCTATGTGTCTTCTGCCAAACTCCCTTTTGTTGTATATTGCCCACCCCCCTCCAAATTAACACGTGCCTGCCCTACACCTATGTGTCAGAGCTGACTCGACAGCACTTAACAACAACAACAACAACAACCCTACAGCTAGTAAATATTCTCTCTCTTCACTCCCACCTCTGGTAACCATCAAAGAATGATTTTTATTTTCAAGCATGAAAACTATTTCTTGACTTTTTACAATACTTGTCTCATACAGTATTTGTCTTCTTATGTTTGACTAATTTCACTTAGTAAAGTGTCCTTCAGGTTCATCCAATGTATGAGGGGTTTCACAGATTCACCTATATTCTTCCACATTGCATGGTATTCCATTGTGTGTTTGTTTATCCATCCTTCTATTGATGGGCATTTAGGATGTCTCCATCTTTTTCTATTGTGAGTAGTGAGGCAATGAACATGTATATATATCTATACATCTCTATCTATCTATCTATCTATCTATCTATCTATCTATCTATCTATCTATCTATGTTATTAAGTGCCATTGAGTCAATTCTGACCCATAGTGACCCTATAGAGGATTTCCAAAGAGCAGCAATCCCTCTATTTAGTAGAGATCCTTAAGAGCTGTGAAATGAATCTATATATATGTTGTTGTTGTTGTTAAGTACCATGGAGAGTCAGTTCCGACTCATAGTGACCCTGCACAGGGTTTCCAAGGCTGTAAATCTTTACGGGAGCAGAAAGCCTCATCTTTCTCCTGCAGAACAGCTAGTAGTTTCGAACTGCTGACCTTGAGGTTGGCAGCCCAACTCGCAACCACTACGCTGCCAGAACTCCATATATATTTCATTTAATTATTTCATTAATTCATCTCACAGCTCCTATTTCTTAAGGATCTCTACTAGTAGAGGGATTGCTGGGTCATATGGGATTTCTATTTCCAACTTTTTGAGACAGAACTATACTTTTTTCTACAGTGGTTGCATCATTTTATAGTCCTACCAGCCATGTAGGAGGGTCCCAGTTTCTCCAGGCAAAGTGGGCACCACGTGTCAGTGCCGGGGGAGACAGCAGCTGCGGAAGATGAAAGAGATAAGAGTGTGTCTGAAAGGGCATCTGCCTCAGTTGCTGGGCACCAAGGTTGTGCTCTGACTGTAGCTCTAATACTTGTTGTTGTTAGCTGCCCCGGAGTGGACTCCAACTCATTGTGACCACATGTACAGCAAAAGAACATGCTGCCTGGTCCTGGGCCATCTTCATGATTTTTAGTCTGTTGCAGTCCATCATTGTGCCCATGGGGCATTTTGAGTGTCTTCCAACTGGGGAGCTCATTTTCAGCACTATATAGTATTCGACAGTGATCCACAGGGTTTTTGTTGGCTAATTTGGGGAAGTAGGTTGCCAGGTCTTTCTTTCACGTCTTAGTTTGGAAGTGCTGCTGAAAATCATCCACCATGGATGACCCTGTTGGTATTTGAGACACCAGAGGCATAGCTTCCAGCATCACAGCAGCCAATGAGTCACCACAGTATGAGAAACGGACAGATGAGTGGAGGTGGCATTAGTGTGGACGTGTCTGAAGCATTAGATGCCCTTCATGGTGAGGAACAGAGATCTACAACATAGACATTGGAGTCAGACACACAATGCTCTATAATGCTGAATCCTGGATCTTAGTCTTTCATTGTCGGGTGGCCATAGATAAGTTATTTACTCTCTAAGCTCCAATTATGGAGTCCTGGTGATGCTGTGACATGTAGCACTGGACTGCTAACCACAGGGTTGCAAGTTCAAACCCACCAGCCTCTCTGTGGGAGAAAAAAAAGGCCTTTTGTTCCTGTAAAGATTTACAGCCTAAGAAACTCTGTTTCTCATCTGTATAGTGTATGGATGCTAGTATCTACTTGTAAGTTCTGCTGCATCCAGTAATAGACTATATCACATCTGAAATAGAGTAATTTTGCAATAAATGTGAGCTTTTGTTAATATCATTATTTCTACAATGTGATGTTTCTTCCTCTAAAAGCCTTTCAGAGCTCAGAGAATACACAGAGGGCCTGGCAGAGCCCAAGGAGACCAGTGACTGGACCCATACTTCCCCTCAGTCTGGTCAATCCGTCATCTCTCTGCTGAGCACAGAGGAACTGAAAACGCTCATAGAAGAAGTGAAGATTCTGGACGAAGCGACATTAAAGGTAGATTTCCTTTGTACACATTTGTCAGGGACCAGGACCTGACTGCAGGCTGTGTGGTCACCTCAGTGGCCGGTGGGAAGCAGTCTGAGTATCCCAGAGCTCCCAAGAGTGAACACCAGACCCGGGTTATGTCGGTGCTAGAGGGACATTATGAACCTTGGCCACAGATCTTCCTGGAAGGGAACTTCTTTTATTGCATCTTATGTGCTTGTATCTGCTTTCTCGTCCTTCAATATACTGTCTTATTGCATCTTATAAACTGTTTAATATGTGAGCAAGGCGAGGCTCAGGGTTTGGTCTGTGCTTGGTCAGAGTCCGGGTTTTCTGTCTGCAGGTTTGGTGCTATTTCCATAGCCTGGTGTGAGTCTCCAGCTAGCAGCTCTATGGGAATACGCTGTATGGCCTGAGAACACTGTGTCTGTCTAATGACAACTGTCACACCACACAGCTCTCATAGTTCTGCTGCTGAGGTGACTGACCTCAGGCCAGCCAAGTCATTCTGAAAGTCCCACTTTCTATATGGTTTCTGAGCATGACCAGAAAGTGTGTGGAAAGGGCAGAGGTGGGGCCCAGCACTCTGTAGAGTGCAGGATATTGGGCTCTGTGCCCTCCTGGGCTTTTGTATCTGATTCCTGCGGACTGAGCTAACAGCACAAGGAGATGCTCTGTTTCTATATAAGGCTGCATGGTGGTGGGAATTTCCAGGTCAGGGAGATTCCTTCTCTGTGCTCTAACTCTTCGCACACTGGGCTCAACACCCCTACACCACTTATTGGCTCAAATGAACAATGAAGGCAAAAGTGTGTTAACAACCAAGAGCTGACCTGCCTAGAGCCTTCTTTGGAGAGCACTTGCTTTTAAACTTTAGAATTGCTACAGGGCTAATGAGCTGATATGTGGGTAAACACTGGGAGCACTGGGCTAGTGTTGGGATAGGAGGGCAGTGAAGTGCATTCCTCCATTTAGGTCTGGTTGTTGTTGTGAAGTGCTGACACATAGCAACCCTGTATAGGGTTTCCAAGGAGCGACTGGTGAGCTTGAACCGCCAACCTTGTGGCTCACACGGACTTTGCAGTCCAGTGTATTACCCCACAGCACCACACCTGGACTCCTTTTAGGACTCTGTAGGTCTTGGGAACTCCCAATCAAAGGATCTCAGAGACAAGCCAGGCTTTGAGAAAGTGAGTCCTTTGACTTAAATGTTTTCTCTAGAACCAAGGTGCAAACTGCGGTGACCTTAGATCTAAGAGGACCTGCAGGTGTATTTCATTTGGTCCCCAAGGTGTCTGTTTGTTTTTAATTATCTAATTCAAAACCAGGGCTTGAAGCAGTTCATTTCCGGTTCCACCTCCTGTTGAGAATTTGCATCTCCTCCCGGATATATGGAAGCTGGATCTAGACTTTAAAGGAGGTCCTCCTAAGGATCATCTGGGGATCTTATTCAAATGTAGATTCTGATTCCCTGTATTTAGGGTGGGAATGCAAACTCCCAGGAGTACATGGAACCAGATTCGAGGCTCCATTCTACACATTACAAATCCTGACTCAAAACCTGTTTCTCAGCTCTGCCTTTCCCAGCACGCTCCTGTGTAGCAGCTGTCCCCTTCAGAGCAGAAGAGGCATTCTTTAACATTCTCATTGCCAAGTGTCATGCATCTGCCCATTTTGCTCATGGAAGCTAATTTCCTGACTCCTGGAGGCATGTCAGTTTGAGACCCTAGTCCTGAATTGGAGAGGGCAGGGACCTCTGACTCAAGGGAAGCTGAGAGCTGTCCAGGCAGAGGTGTACAGTGTCCTGTGTGCGTTCATGAACGCGTGTCCAGGTAAGATGTCAGCTGGGAGGAACAGAAAGCAAGAAAGAGCCACCAAACCTCCAAAACTGTCGACCCCTAGCTTTGTGAGCCTACGGTCCTAAAACCTTACCTCATGCCACTGAGGTCAGAAAAGGTAAAGATGCAGTCTCTCAAGCGCTAGGGTTTCCACATGACAAATGTCTGCCTACAGGAGTGTGGGTGTGAAGGGGAAGTGTGTGAGAGGACAAGAAAAACGTTAGCTTTTCATGATAAGCATCTTGAGATTTTTGGAGGCAAGACACACCACAATGAGTTGGGCTGATAGGACCCTTTTACTGAATAGCTTGTGTGGCTGCAGGAGGAAGTGGACACTACCCTTCCTGCCCCTTCAAGCCTTAGGAACTAGCAGATCAAATCATGTGGAAAGTGTCTATGACAACCAAGATATCAAGGTACACATATTTAGTAATAAATTATATCTGTATCATGAAAAGAATAAGAACAGTGTTTGCTGATAAGTGCACATGTTTTTCTGTTAAGCTTCCCTTGACTCTTGAAAGTGTAGTCCTTCCTCTGTAGATGATGAAACTGAAGTTTGAGGTGACGTAGCTTGTAGCATGGACATGATGGGATTTGAGATCAAATCGGTCTGACTTTAATAGATATTTAAAATCACTAATACTATTACCTTAAGATATTGTACACACACATCTTCCTCTTCTGCAGCAATTAGACAGCATCCACGTCACCATCTTGCACAAGGAGGAAGGAGCTGGCCTCGGGTTCAGCTTGGCAGGAGGAGTGGATCTAGAAAACAAAGTGATCACGGTGAGTAGCCCAGTAATGGGGGCAGGTCAGAGGCAGAGGCTGGGGCTGAAGGAGGGCGCCACTTGCCAGGAAGGGACAGAAGATGGATGACACCAATCCATTGGGGAACGGGGCTGCCTTTTCCAAGAAGCAGCCTCCCCACCTTGTTCTGTCCTCCCCACCTTGACTATCTGCAGAAAGAGTCCCCTGTATGACCCCATATGTGACTCACATCACAATCCTAGTTTTAATGAAGGTCTCTGCATACCCCCAAAACTTTGATATAACAAAAGAAATCCAGATTATTATCCTCACAGCACAACTATTGAACAGAACTTTGGGAGGTGGAGGCCCAAATGTCTACAATTTTGAAGATTCTGGAAAGAGATTTAAAAATTTTATACTAGGTTTTATTCAATAGCTTAGCTTACTCTTTTGAAAGTACGGATCATTTTGAAGACATGGACCATTAAACATTTAGACAAGGAGGTTTATGACCACAGAGGCAGTTTTAGAAAACTTTATAGTCAGGATTGGCAACTTGATCAGGCAACGTGGCACAGAACACCTTCATTGTCACCTGGATATAAAAGCTCTTCATCTGAAGAGAAACAGCCATCACCTGCATAGAATGGCATTTCAACTGTATAGAAAGGGGCCTTGAGGAAGCAGGGTCCTGTAAATCCAGTTGCCATCAAGTTGACGCTAACTCATGGTGACCCCATGTGCGTTAGAATAGAACTGGGCTCCATGTGACTTTCAATGGCTGATTTTTCAGAAGTAGACCACCAGGGCTTTCTTCTGAGGTACCTGGGGGTGGACTCGAACTTCTGATCTTTTGGTTAGCAGCTGAGCACTTAGCTATTAGCACCATCCAGGGAGACGGCTGTTTTCCTGTTTTCACCTACTTGAAGAAGGAAAAGGCTCAGCTGGACAAGTGTGAAGCTGAGGTGACGGTTGGTTGAGACTGGGATGCAGGGGGCAAGCTGATGAGAACAAGCAGCAGCCACTGCCTTCACACTGTGCACACTCAGAGGCCCCAGCCCATGTTCGCTTTACACCTATAGAGGCTGGGGCAGGTGTGGGGAGGGGAGCAGAACTGGATGTTTTCCTGTGGACCTGCTTTATTTGATCCTGGCTATTTGATCAGCGTTGGCTGCTACCCTCTGCCCTGTGTTTCCGGTTACCTGTACTTGGCCCAGGGGGTTTCTAATCATGCTGTGATAGGCTGTGAGACAGCTGCCCCTCTCTCTAAAGCCAAGTATGCTGTTGTTTCCACACAGCGATGTTGTCCCGGGGTGCCCTTTATGTGGGTGTGCTGGGCACGTTATTATTCCAGCTCACAGCTCCAGCCAGCATAAAGCACACCACAATGCCTTGCAATAATGACTTGGGACATCCCTGCCAGTCATTCAGAATCAACAGTGTGAGCAGCAACTTCCTTAATCTCTTTCCAAGTTCTCTACCCTGATTATGCACATAAAACCCCTAAGTCCCTCTTTCTGTCACTAACCACATAGAGAAGTGTTGTGAAGACATTCCTGGGGTTGCAGTTCACTTTCTAGTTGAAGAGAAGGAAGCAGAGTGTGCGTATAGGAATAGCCCTTTGGTTCTGCCCTTAAATCGAGATTTCCCTCCACAGTGTTCAGTTGTCTGACCAGAGGCAAAGTAGCAGCTGTGTATATCAACTGATTGTATGAACCCGGAAGACCCAGTGTACATTGACTGAACATACGCATAAGAGTGTCTTCCTCTTTCCGTGTTTGAGCATGCCTGTTCCTCTTTAGACCCATTAAAAGGGAAGTAACACGGAGCACCACCCATGAGCAAGCACCATGCAGGACCCTCATTGGTGTGTCTCTAAAGTGTCTTTCCAACACGTTGAGGTGGGAAATGGGTAGTGTTTCTGCTTAGTGTATAGATGAGTGACAGACTTGAGACTTACAACAGAGGTTCTGCTTCATACTTAGGTCTTGTAGGCTGGGGACTGAGACCACATCTGACCACATCATAGAAGTTCTCCAACACCAAAACAAGTTAGAGAAAAAAGAAGAGTCTTGTTGCCCATTTGAGGGATTGCCCATGTAAGCAATCACTGAATACTCTTAACTGTGTCCATTGGAATTTGCCTTTCACCCTTAGCTGGTACTGCTGCAACACAGATACCTCTGTGTTGTTGTTGTTGTTGTTAAAAGCCGTCGAGTTGTTTCTGACCCAAAGTGACTCTGTATAGGACTTCTGAGGAGTGGCTAATGAGCTTGAACTACCGACTTTGCAGTTCAAACTGACCTTGCAGTCGAGCACATTAACCTGCAGAGTCACACCAGGACTTTAAAGAACACATTTCCTCATAGTCTGGAGGCTGAAAGTCCAGTTGACAGCCTGGGCCTTGACTTCTTCCTTGTCAGAAGGCCCAGGTGTTCCTTGGCTCTTGGGCTTGTAGACAACTCTCACACAGCATCTGTCTCTGTCTCTAATCTAGTTTAAGAGGAACATCCCTGCTATGACCACATTACCATAACAAAGGGAAACACCTATTTCCAAACAGGATCATGTATCAACAGGGACAAGGGCCAGGAATTTAGCACATATTTTAGCAGGTCACAACTCAGTCTAAGACGAGGCTTCCTGCTTCCGTAAACATTTACAGCCTCAGAAACCCTACCCAGGTCGCTATGAGTCAGAACCGACTGCATGGCACACCACCACGCACCTGAGCTGACTGATTGGAGATTTCTGGATCCTGACCTTCTTTGGTTTGCTCAGGTTCACCGAGTGTTCCCAAATGGGTTGGCCTCCCAGGAAGGGACTATTCAAAAGGGCAACGAGGTCCTGTCCATCAATGGGAAGTCTCTCAAAGGGGCCACACATACGGATGCCCTGGCCATCCTCCGCCAAGCTCGGGACCCGCGGCAAGCCGTGATTGTCACAAGAAAACCAGCCTTAGAGGTCACTCCCGACTTGAATTCCTCCAGCGACTCAGCAGCCTCAACCTCTGTAGCCAGTGATGTTTCTGCAGACGCGAGTGAGTTCTCCCAATCCTGGGGGGCTGCTCTGTCATCTGTGTGTGCTGCCCAGTGGGTTGCCTGAGATGTTTGTGTATAGGTGTGCATGTGTGTGCATGCATTTGCATATGCATGTCACATGTGCATACAGGTACATGTAAAAGGCTGCATCAGCCAGGGATCACACGGCATCCAGGGTGTATGTCCCCAGGGAGGGAGTGGCGAGTCTCCTGACGAAAGTGCCCTTGTCTTTCTCAGTAGCAGAGGCCACAGTCTGTACAGTGACATTGGAGAAGAACTCTGCAGGACTGGGCTTCAGTCTGGAAGGAGGAAAGGGCTCCCTCCATGGAGACAAGCCTCTCACCGTGAACAGGATTTTCAAAGGTGTGTCCATGTCTGACTATGCAGTGTCTCCACTGTGGCTAGCCAGGCCACAGGTCACTTCCCAGCAGCTGCTAGGCCACACCACACTGATTTTCCATAGTTCATGTCTTCTTGAGAAGGCATACAGACCTTCCTAGAGCTCAATTCTGCTCATCCTGCCTTTTCTCCTGAGCTCAAACATCCCCTTAGCCCCTTTATTTTACTGAAATATTTTCAGCAGCTGAGCTCTGGGCTTGATGTAGCTTAGCAGGGCTGCCACTAAGCGAGACAACTGAGGCACTGGCGAGTAAAATGTTCTTGTTGTTATGAAGTGCCATTGAGTCAGTTCTGATCCATAGTGACCCTGTATAGGGTTTCCAAGGAGCAGCTGGTGAGCTTGAACCACCGACCTTATGGTTCAAACTCACTTTGCAGTCCAGCACATTAGCCCACAGCACCACACCAGGACTCCTGTGTAAAATGTAAGTGGGTATAAAATGTAAGGGAGTACCCAATTACTCAGTAATCAAGATATGTAACATCTCAATACAATATATGTATTGTTGTTGTTATTAGGTGTCATCGAGTCAGTACTGACTCATAGTAACATTATGGACAGCAGAACGAAACACTGCCCGATCCTGAGCCAACCTCACTATCGTTGCCACGCTTGAGCTCATTGATGCTGCCACTTTGCCAATCCATCTCACTGGGGGTCTTCCTCTTTTTCTCTGACCCTCCATATATTAAGAAGCTCTGGTAGCGCAGTGGTTATGAGTCAGACTGCTAATCTCAAGGTCAGCAGTTTGAAACTAACAGCTGTTCCATGAGAGAAAGATGAGGCTTTCTGCTCCAGTAAAGATTTACAGCCTCGGAAACCCTATACAGGGTCACTGTGAGTCAGAACCGACTCCATGGCACACCACCACTACCATTATATATATATTTTAACCTATATGGAGTCCTGGTGTGGCACTATAGGATAAGTACTGGACTTCTAACTGCAAGGTCGGTGGATCAAACCCACCAGCTGCTTCTCAGAAACCCTATACAAGGTCACAATGAGTTGGAACCAACTTGATGGCACTTTATAACAGTAACAATAATAGTTCCTGTTATAAATGTAAACATGACTTTTATTTCCCGCACATATATTTTGGAGGGGAGGGCAATAGTCTTGGGATTCCTCCAGCCTCTTTCTGACCAATAAATCCAATTTGTTTTTAATAATTTTTAATTTTGTTCTACATTTCCTCACACTAGCCCAGACCTTCTAATGGGATTCTTTTCAGAACAGTTGGCAGAGGTAGCCAGGCACCAATAATAGAATATTCTTAAAGAATGAAAATGAATGACTTAAACTCCATGATAAATAACATATCAAAGCTTTCAGTAAAGACACTGTCTGCCCCTGCACTTGGCAGTGCTCAGCCTTATCTGCCTTCTCTGATCCCGGACCTGTTGGCTCCTGCCTTTATTGAAAAAGGTGATACTCTATTTATTATGACTGGGGGTAGAGATCATTGGATTTACCTGTGAAGACCATGAATGAACTTGTTGTTCCTCAAGCTGGAAGCCCCCAAGTCACAAAGCAAGGAATTGTGGAGAGATAACTGATGGACAGGGAACCAGATGGTCTGGTTCTAGGCCCCACTCTGCCTCTGCCTTGCAGAATGGCCCTGCTTCTCCAAGCCTGAGGCTCCTCCTCTTTAACCCATCAAGGTTTGTGTGTGGTAGCTGCTGATAGGTCAACTGCAACTGTTGCCAGTTTCCCTGATGTGTCAGTTACCTAGCGCTGCTACAAACACACACTGGCTAGCTTAAAACAACAGAAATGTATTTTCTCACAGTTCTGCAGACCTGAAGTCTGAACTCAGGGTGTTTCTCTGAAAGCTCCAGAGACGATCCTTCCTTGCTTCTTCCAACTTCCGTGGCTCGTGGCAGCGTAACTCTAATCGCTGCTTGTGTCTTCATCTGTCTCGCCATCTCTGTGTATCTTCTTTTTTACAAGGACTCCCGTAGTGAAGACTCACCCCAAAGACTTTATGTTAACTAATTACATCCGCAGATGACATTATTTCCAAATAAGGTCACATTCACAGGTATAAGAGTTAGTACTTCAACATACAGATTTTGTTGTTGTTGTTAAGTGCTGTTGAATCAGTTCTGACTCATAGTGACCCTGTGTAGGGTTTCTGAGGAGCGGCTGATGGGTTTGAACTGCCGACCTTGTGATTGAAAGTCCTATACAGACCCTACAGTGCCACACTCAACCCATGACATTGGGAATCCATGTTAACTCTAATTCTGGAAACGATAGTTTTAACTTTTGAAGGTCAGCTTGGAGTGAGCATGGGATCAGAGTCAAGAGACATGGATTCTAGTGTTAGTTCTGCCATTTATGGCCGTGTGACCATCCTGATCATTAAACAGGAAGGAGCCTGTCCACTGCTGGACCATGTGGTGTTTAGGAAAGCAGATTCTAGTGCCAGGAAGTATGGGTTTAAGCTCAGTCCCCATGACTCAGCAGCACTAACACTTTGGTGAGTGACTTTTTTGTTTCCTCAACAGTAAAAAAGAAACCTTCAAAGGGTGTACCCCACAGGGATACCGTCATAAACATAAATCCTACTATGTAATCATTGCTCAACACATTTTAGCCATCTTTTTTATGATCATCATTTTTATTTTCTGTTCTTATACAGTATAGGTGAAGATCATTGTACCATGTGGATGGGAGCTTTCTTCTTTGCATATCAACAGGATTATAGCACTGTGTCCATGGGCAGCTCAGGTCCCCACAGCACAAAGGTGTGGGGACCATGCATGCTTATGGCTTCTTTACACAGGTCCAGGGGCCTTCTCCAGGCCATTCAGAGCCAAACACAGCACAGAGATGGATTCATGAAGATTTCATTAGCTCCCTTTCCTATCATTTCATGCTGATGATCTAATTAGGAGGGGAAAGACCACACATTACGGGGTGGGGGCTGAGTTGTGTCCGAGACTTGGTGGATGAGTCAGTTACCTTGAGTCCTCTACCCAGTGGACCCGCAGCCAGGCTCTGGTTTGAGGTTCTAAAATCTCTTTCCCCTAAGGACAGCATGGGTCTCTCCTATCCTAAGGTTCTAGTTACCACTGATGAGATGCCTTGTTTAAAACTGCCAAATGATGGGTCCTCTGTTCTCTTCCCAGCCATCCTGGCTCCTCAGGGACCACGGGTAGGAAGGAACTTCTTCCGACGCCCTGTAGCCTATGAACCCCATTATCATCTTCTTCTCTCTCATTCCAGGAACAGCCTCAGAGCAGAGTGAGACGGTCCAGCCAGGAGATGAGATCCTACAGCTAGCCAGCATTGCTGTGCAGGGCCTCACGCGGCTCGAAGCCTGGAACATCATCAAGGCCTTGCCTGATGGACCTGTGACTATTGTCATTAGGAGAAAAGGCCTGCAGTCTGAGGGGACCACAGCAGCTGGAGAAGCCTAGGCAGAGTGCCACTGCTGATGCCCAAAGCTCGTAGCATGCTGCTCCCCACAGCCTCTGAGTCTCAGGGTCTCTGTTAACCCTACCCTCCAGATAAGGAAAAGCACAGATGTGCTTTGTGGTGGCTGTTGCCCAGATTGGGACTTCTGGGACCATCCAGCAAGAGGACTGCCTCAAACATAATGTCAGAGTCAGACTGGGGTGACTTGACACAACTGTACTCTGTGTATAGAAAGCTTAATGATAATAATATGGTGCCACGAATAAAATGGATCTATTACGATTTGACATGAAATCCATGTCGTACTTTGCAAAGTCTTCCAAGCACTATAGCTGTGTGACAGCCTTCCACCAAACAGCAGCATTTATTCTCGTCAGTCTGCAATGTGGGCAAGATTTGGCTCAGTTGGAGCAACTCAAAATCCGGGAACTGGCGTCATCTGAAGCGTCCTTCACTCACATGTCTAGCCCTTGATGTTGGCTGTTGACTCCTGAGAGCTAGGCTGGGCTGTTGGTGTGAACATTTATGTGTGGGTGGTCTCTCCATGTGGTCTGGATTTCCTCACAAGATGGTAGCTGGATTCTAAAGGTAAAAGTCCCCAGAGTGACAGAGCCAAGTAGAAGCTGCACTCTATTTATGAGTTTGCCTTGGAAGCCACAGAGCGTCATGATCATGGTATGCTATTGACCAGAGCTAGCACAAGGCTGCCCAGGAGTAAGGGAAGGGAAATATCAATGGAGCCAGTTTTGGAAAAGAAAATATTTGCTAAACTAATTTTGATTGGGTTGGAGAAGTACGCCTAAGCAAAAGTAGAACTAGGTGATAGAGAAAGTAAGCAAGAAGGAGTCTGGGTGACACTCAATATGTTTGTTGTTGCTGTTATTAAGTGCCATTGAGTCAATTCCGACACATAGTGACCCTGTGTAGGGTTTCCGAGGAGTAGCTGGTGAGCTTGAACTGCCAACCTTGCAGTTCAAACGGCTTTGCAGTCTGGCGCATTAACCCACAGCGCCACACCAGGACTCCCAATATGTTTAGGTGTGTCAATAGCATGAACCAGCATGAGTATGAGAAGGTAAAGGGAAAATTGCTACCATTAACCTACCACATGGCATCAAATGGACATTGTCTTTAGTGACCACAATAGCTTCAACAACTCAGAGCATTGTGCCATTGTATCCACAAGGACACCAGGGCCCAGAGAGAGTAAAGTGACTTGTGTAGCTAGCTAGTGACTGGAAAGGCAGTGACACGGAGTCCTTGTCCGACTAACAGGTCAACGGGGTCTTAAGTACCGAATATTGTAAGGAAACTCCCTCCACGTTCCTGACCAGAGGGATAGTTGTTCACTTCTTAATGCCTGATTGCCAAGATCAGGGTAAAGAATCACCAGCGCACCTTGCCCTATCTGTTCCTGTGCAATAAGCGTGTGGGACAAGGTCTGGCGGCCACCACAAATGCCACATGCAAAGTAACTATTCCCAGCCAATGTCACTGGGCCATGTTAATGTTAACCATTTCTGGATCCATAGAGCAATTCTTCTCTGACACGTGGCAACCCCACTCGTACCAGAGTCGAACTGTTGGTTTTTATAACGTTTTCAATGACTGCTTTTTCAGATGTAGATTGTCAGTTCTCTCTTTTGAGATGATTCAGAGTGGACTTCAACATCCAACCTTTTGGTTAGCACACAAGTGTGTTAAACTTTTGAATTACCAAGGAACGCCCCTTAGAAGCTAAGACTCTTCTTAGATGCTAAGAATCTATTTCCTGCTGGAGGGTCCTAATCTTTATGCAAACCCTTTTAGAAACTTCACGCTGGGTGTCCGCTCATTGTCTATTTCATCCTGAGAAACAAAGGGCATAGTTGTGTCCTGCTTCTGTTGTCTTGTGTCCCATTCTAAACTTTGTCAACCAGTTGCTGTAGATAAGAGCTTAGAGGCACAACGTGTGTCCACATTTTAGACTTAATAAAAACATTGAGAATCAACGTGGTCTAACAAAGAAAGGTGTGTGCCAATTCAACACACAGCCCCCAGATCTTCCTGTGTGCCTGTCCAGGGGTTGGCAATGAGACATACTCCTTGTTTTCCAGATTGTCACCATGTGTGCCCACAGTGACATTTCCTATAAGTGAGCATTGTTTTGGGTCCTATTAAGTAGCCAAGTGATGCATCTGGACCAATCGATGGAAGAACATTGCTTTCCATGAAGAATTAAAGGTGCCAGAGTGGATGCTCAACCAGTCAACCATGTGCCTGAGACATGGAGAAAGATTTTCTAGAAAACCAGATAAACCAAGTATGTGGGTGGGCAGAGGTGGTCTGGGGACTAAATGACCATGCTTTGCTCAGAAGTACCTCTTCCTGTCTGTCTCTGGCCTGTTTCAGAAAGTGTCCTCCTCCCCGAGGCCAATGAGGCCACTACTACCGCCCAGGTTCCTGATCTCCAAGCCACGCGGGTCTTTAGGTCAGGAGTCATGTTGGTAAGAGGGTCCTCAAACAAAAGCTCATCCACTCCAGAATGCTGGGTTTACATTTCCTCAGCTGACATCTCAAATGCTTTCCATTCATCCTCAAAGAGTGCAAAGCTCACAGGTAACTCTTGCCATTCTAGCCTCACGGTCCATGAAAACGAATCCTCCTCAGGGCCTCTTCCGGGCAGCACTAGTTCTTGGTACTTTTTACTAATTCATACACTATCTCATTTGCATATACTCTCAAGAAGCAGAGTACACTGGAATCGGAATTTCAGTTCCTGTATTTTCTTTTAAAGATACTAAGTCAATGCGCAGAAGTGGTTAAGTGGCCCAAGGGTGCAATTTCTAAGAGGCAGGGCTTAAACCAGGGCGTATGTGTTTGGCTCCTTGTCCTCTGCTCAGATCAGTTTCATGTGACACTAGCAGACACAGGGACAGCACATCTAGAGGGCCCCATAGGATGCCTTGGGGAGACTGGCCTTCCATCTAGCTAGACAGGGTTGGGCAAAGAGACTCCATCTTGATAAACACTCCCACCTTCTGGGGTCTGACCCTGAGAAGCAGGAATAAAAGTTCTCCTTGACCACTGCAACTAGAATTGGCTTAATTTGGGAGATGAACTCGAGGCACCAAGCAAAAACCAGTTCCCATTGAGTCAACTGATTTGCATGCCCCCATGTGTGTCTGAGCAGAACTGTGTCCCATCAGGTTTTCAATGGCTGAATTTCAGAAGTAATTTTATAGCCCTCTCTTCTGAAACACCACTGGATGGACTCAGATCTCCATCCTTTAGGTTAGCAGTCAAATGCATTAATCATTTACACCATCCAGGGACACCTCTGGCATAGAGATGAGACCTACTAAGTGCTTACTGAATGAATGGATGCACAAAAGCTAACCAAATTCAAGATCCCAGTAAAGATTCCTTGGTAAGAAAAGGCAGCTCTCTGTATGATCTTTTATTAATATTTATTATGTTGAATGATCTTAATAGCATGTCTTCATTAGAACACAGAAAGAAATGAGCTTTCCGCCCAGTTGACACTGAGCTCTTGTGTTTTAAAGCTTAGGTCCTGGCATCTTCAGAAGAGAATCACCCAGAACACAAAGACTGGGAAGTAAGTTATTAGGGCATGTTGTGTTAGTGCCCTTGAGCTGGTTCTGACTCATAGTGAATCTATATAATACAGTTTCTGAGGAGTGACTGGTGGGTTTGAACAGCCGACCTTGTGGTTAGCAGCCCAGTGCTTATTCTACGGCACCACCCCAGGACTATGGCACTAGGGAACTGTTTTTCATTTGGAAGCACAAAGGCTGAAGATGGAAATGTCTGGTATAGGCAATGACATGAAGGGGCTCTGATCAGATATGAGGGATGTTCCTTACAAGGAAGAAGGTGGGACTGAGCTGAGGTTACTAGAAGGCCCTAGAGAATCCCTGATTGGAGAGAGGAAAACAAAGTCATGTGAGTGCCGCGACCCCTCAAAGGTGGCCAGGCTGTGCTTTCTGGTTCCGATGATGTATGCAGTGGACATCAGCCTGCTGCATTGTGCACTGCATCCAAGCCTCGAGGGGGGAGTCCAGCCAACCTTGCTGGAGTGAGGACTGCTTTTCCATTCTTGCTGTTGGCAGACATGTGATAGACCACTAGTCTTCACTAAAGAGGGTAAGAAAGGGCAAATACCCAAGGGAAGGAAGGTGTCTAGTTACAAAGAAGAGCAGCTTGCTCAGTTCAGAAGCACTTCCTAAGAGAACTCACCCCCAAGGCTGTTGATTGTACCTGGGACAGATCCAAACCTCTGGGCTTTCTCGGGAGGCATGTCAGTTTACTCCCAGAGGGAAAAAAGAAGGAAAGCAATTGATGTGAATAGAAGATATAGCAAAAGAAGCACAGAAAACATTTTTTCCTTAAGCCTTATCCCATCTTGTAAATCATCATTTCCCAAGTCGACATCTTTTTAAGGGGGCTGGGAGAATGTTGCACAGTGCTCGAAAAACATATACCAGAATCCACAGTGCAGGTCTGAGAGAGTTCTAGATGATACAAAGGCAACAGAACCTGGTTTTCGGTACTGATGGGGTTTCTTTTTGATAAGCAGGGATATACAACTTGATAGTGACTTACAGATAAAGGCTTTGGACCAGACAACATCACATGGAGCCTGGGTAGAGTCCCTGAGAGGTGGCCCGGGTTCTGACCAAGGAACCATGCTTGGATAATGGGCAGAGAGCACGCAGAACACATGGATGTCACATCCCACACAACCTCTGATTGGAAGGAGGAAACGGGGGTGCTGGGTGGCATCCTCAGAGAATGTCCGGTTGGTTGCCATGTTCCATAATGCAAAACAGACCCTCAGTTCTTCCAGGATCTCTAGTGGTCTAACACTTGGCACTCCTCCATACGTTGGATAAGTTCCTCTCCAACCAGTGTCCACGTCATGCTTGGAATTTTGTCACTGCTGTCTGAAGGTTAACGTAAAACGTAGCCATGCTGCGGGGGAAGAAAGATTCCACCACCGTCTGTGGGAGGTAACCACTGAGGTCGGTCTGGAAGAATGTGACCAGGTGAGTCTTGTTGGGCTCCCTGTGAAAGCAAAAACACAGCTGTCTTGTGTGTCCACAGAGAAGGCTCGAGGGACAAGGGCCAGGGCGGGAGCCCAGTCCAGTTAGGAATGCCCAAACATAATGAGTTTCTCTAATCCCTAATGGATCCATGAGTCATTGTCCGGGGATTGACTCTACACCTGCTTCTTTTCTGGATGGGTATGTGCACCTGTCCTCCCGCCCCCAGCAGAGAGCAGGCACAGATATTGTCCTCTGTCCACATGCAGGGTCCTGAAGCCTTTACAAGGGGTTGGCAACGTTCAAACTACTTTTTAGAAGACTAAGATGGTTTTTGTCTTTTTTGTTGTGATCTCTCACACGGGTAACAGGATGTTTTCCAAAGATTCCCTGGTAATGTGATTTCACCGCAGATTAAATGTAAATGCATGCGTGAACTTCTAGGACCCTGAGGTTAAAGAGATTTGAAAAAATGCAAACAAAAATGGTGCTCTTCTCATTATTTTTATGCTTTGAGAAATTGAGTTATTTCCCATAAAAATGTGACATATTATTTACATGCTATGGATTTATTGTTATCTGAAAATAAATGAAATATTTCCAGTTTTAATTTTTAGTTCAGAACATGCCTATAGATGTTGTTGTGAAGTGCCGTTGAGTCAATTCTGACTTGTAGCAACCTTGTATAGGGTTTCCAAGGAGCAACTGGTGAACTTGAACCACCTACCTTGCAGTTCTGCTGGATTGTGTGACTTGGAACTATAGTCCTAGCACCTTCAAACAGGTATATGTCGGCAAGCTATAATTCTTGGATAAATGGTTTCTGAATGCTGCCCCTGAGTGGCTTCATCAAAACTACCTAGGCAGGTGTGAGTTACAAATCCTGGCTCTTAGGGCACAACCAACTCTAATGACTCAGTGTATCTGGAGGGGTTGCCTAGAAATCTGTTCCCAAGGCTCTCCTTCTCCTCCCAGAGTTCTGAGGCACCACCATGACTGGGTACCATGGAACTAAACTGCCTGTGCAGACTTCTCTTTCGGGTAGAAACATCAATAGGTAGATGAGAAAATTTGTTCAGAAATTAAGTTCCCCTCTGGGTGAGCACTAGGCCGTATGGGAGGGGAAACAAGGCTGAGAGTGTGTGGGAAGAAGCAAACTCAACAGATTACAGAGTGGCAACAGTAATGAAGGCAAACTCAACAGATTACAGAGTGGCAACAGTAATGAAGGC